CCCCTCCCCCTCCAATCTGTTGCTGTCTACCTTGCCCCCCACCCCATCTGTTTCTGTCTATCGTGCTTTTTCCTTGCACAAAATGACATTTGTCGTGTGTCGATGTGCCTCTCTCTTAGAGCAGGTCCGACTGTATTTTGATATACTTTTACGTGATGTGTTAAACTATTTTTGCTGTTAACACGCTTGTTATTTTATTTGCTTTGTTATCTCGTGTCAGCTGTTCTTTTCCTTTGACTTTGAAGAATCACAAGGTTTGCATGATATTTTTCCCCCCATCCCTAATTTCGACTGTACTGTGTAAAACACCGTCATACATCATTTTTCAAAAGAGCGTATGTTGGAGTTTTACACCAAGCAGTCAGATTGTGTCACGACGCGGTAGATCAGGTGCTCCTCAATTTTTAGGCATTTGCAGTTATTGGTATCATCTTAAAGTTTGTTCATTTGCCCTTTCTTTTGATGAAAAAAACCCAATCTATCTTGAATCGAAGTCAAGACATTTGTGATTGAAGGAGGTGGGGGTCGCCTGGTATCAGAGGTAGAATAAGTGAGAAAATGGCTGTCAAAGTCTAACTTCCAAAGCTTGATTGTTCTTGGAAACTGCTGACATATATATTTTTTGTGCCTTTGACCAGTGTTTTTCAGTAAAATCTACTTAGGAATGTATTCCCAAATGGACATAAAAAGGTGTTGAGCCCCCCCCCACCAAAAAAACCAAATTCAATAAAAAATTACCCAACAGGCAGAAAAATGTATATTTCTCTAATTTTATTTTGACAAGCGCCTGATTTCACCAGGATGCCACACATTTGTGTTTTCAGGTGTGAACAAAGTCGAGACTGTTTTATGTAGACCCAACTGGTTGCTTTACTATGATAGTTTTCTTTTCAGTGACGTTTCTGCGGTTGCTTTGTACACCAGCTTCGTAGCGCCCAAGTGTTCAGAGATTTTACAGCTGGTTTTTTTTGTGGTGTTTCTGCAGAAGATTGATCAACAGCATTTACAGTGTGCTGTGCCTGCGAAAGTCATGAGTGTCGCTTGTCCATTTGTCGCAACCGTTAGCTGACAATGTAGAATACACATTGCTTTCAGTTGTTGACCAGTTAGCTTCATGAGCACCTTAAATCGATACTTGTCCTTTTTTTCAATCTACTTGCTTGATTGGTATTTTAAGAAGTTAACGAAGAATTGCTTCTAGTTGAAAAATGTCGACCTAGCTCACCTCAAGAAGGTTAAGCCCTCTCTGAAGTTCGAGTGAATTAGAGTAGTCTTAGTAACAAGAAACAATTAAACAACTGTGAGGCGTGATGACAAAATAACCCCCCCGGGCGGTGCCACTGACTGAAGTATTTTTAGGCCATTCCCAAAGGGGGGACATTAACATGTTCTTATGCACAGTAGAATTGTAAATGGGATGATTCACCAATGTCATGCTCATAACTGTGTCTGAACTGCAAGAAGGAACTGCTGCTTTTTCTTTCCTAATCCTTATTATCGTCATTTTTCTTCTACTTCTTTTGTATGTTTGTCACACTCTTGTGATCTGCTATTTCCGGGGTGCCTTGACAGTTGAAGCAGACTTTGTGCTGTTGAATCTAGAGAGGTGAGCAGAGTAAGCCTGATTCCCTGTATGGACTTCTCTGTTGACATCCACCCCATGGCTCTCATTTGACCGTATACAGTTGCTAGCGCCATAAAAAATCTACTAAAACTATTTTTAAAAACCTGACAAACTTCTCGCAATCCACAAATGGAGATATTGGCCAAAAACTGACACTAGGGTCAAATTTGTAGATTTTCTATTGATGACATATTCTTTAAACATAACAAGTCTTTTATTAGTTCATGCTTATAAATTGTAAAAACTTCACCAATAAACTATAAATGTGACATATCTATTTCCATGGGTCTCAAATCTGAGAAGTAACTCATTTTGTCAGCACGCTTCACAATTTATTGTTCTGCTTTTTTGACTCGGGCAGCTGATTAGGGCTTGTGTTTCAGTGTTGTTGTAACATTCGATTGTAGCCAAGGGTGTGGAAAAGAGTTGACTCTGGGAAGTACGTGAACTGTGAGACAGGAATCTTGGGTAGCTGACAGCTGATGTGTGTGGTCCTTCATGCCTGCGTGCGACAAAATATTTTGTACAACTAGGGTTTCAAATTTACCATTTCGTATCATCTTTCATGGAATGTGGGTGGTTGGTTGGTGCTCTGGTGTAGTTTTTTCCTTCTTTCCTATCAAAAATCTGTTGTCCTTATCTCCCCTTCTTCTTTCCTATCAAACATCTATCTCCCTTATCTCCCCTCCTTCTTTCCTATCAAACATCTATCTCCCTTATCTCCCCTTCTTCTTTCCTATCAAACACCTATCTCCCTTATCTCCCCTCCTTCTTTCCTATCAAATATCTATCTCCCTTATCTCCCCTTCTTCTTTCCTATCAAACATCTGTCGTCCTTATCTCCCCTTCTTCTTTCCTATCAAAAACCTATCTCCCTTATCTCCCCTTCTTCTTTCCTATCAAATATCTATCTCCCTTATCTCCCCTTCTTCTTTCCTATCAAAAACCTATCTCCCTTATCTCCCCTTCTTCTTTCCTATCAAATATCTATCTCCCTTATCTCCCCTTCTTCTTTCCTATCAAATATCTATCGTCCTTATCTCCTCCTTTTTTTGTGTATGTTACTCTCTTGTAGCACTTCTATTCTTCGGCTCTTATATGATCTTTCATGAACTTATCCGGGTGGTTGGAGGGTGCCACTTGTAGGTCCTAATTTCATTCTTCCCTCTCTTTTTTTTTTTTTGGTCTTTCTTCCTTTTTCCCCTTCACTAAATAACAATTATTTATTGTTATGGTGTGTTTCTCTTTACTCAAGCGAGTGGGTGGCGGGCGGGCGCTCTGGTGTGGTTTTGCTTCTTCTTTCCTATCAAAAACTACCGTCCTTCTCTCTCCTCCTCCATTTTTGCGTTTGTTACTCTCTTGTAACACCTCTAATCTTTTGGCGCTCGTTTGACCTTATGCAGTTGCCAGCGCCGTAAAACCTCTACTGAAACTAAACTCTCCTCCTCCATTTCTGTGTTTGTTACTCTCTTGTAACACCTCTAATTTTTGGCTCTTATATGACCTTATTGTGTTGCAAGTGCCGTAGAACTTTGACTAAAACTAAAACTTCCTCAAGCGAACATGTGCGTGTCTCTTCACTCAAACGAGCAATCATGAACGTATTTCAGAGGCAGCTGTTGATGTCCCTCACATCATGGTCAACAATGACTCGACGGTGGTCAAGGACGGACCTCAGGTCTCTGCGCCGCTGGCTCAGGCAGAGCCGTTTGAGGAGAAGGTGCAACAGGTGACGGTGAGCAGCGTGAGCCGGGCCGCGCCCCCACAGGAGCCCAAGGAGAACGGACAGGTGGGCAGGATTGTTTGTTTATTGTTGGTTTGTTTGTTTGTTAGGACTGGTTCCAGAGAAATACCTGGTTTTGATGAATTCTCCTCTGAATCAATAAGAACAACATAAATTCTCCTCTGGTTCGATATAACAACACGAATTCTTCTCTGGTTCGATATAACAACATGAATTCTTCTCTGGTTCGATATAACAACATGAATTCTTCTCTGGTTCGATATAACAACATGAATTCTTCTCTGGTTCGATATAACAACATGAATTCTCCTACTGTCTTTTTATGGTTGAGTTCTTGTCTATGAAGTCTCTTATTGTCTTTTTATTGCTGTGTTTTCCTTTGTGTTTGTTACTCTCTTGTAACGTCTCTGGTCTTCAGCACTTATACGACCTCATCTTGTTGCAAGGGCCATACAATTCTTACTAAAACAAAACGTAGAAGAACTCAGTCAAGCCTACGTAATTCTGTAACGTACGTTGTCTGTGCAGGATGTAGGGGGTCTGCCTGACTTTCTTCCATCTTCCATTTCTTTCATATGAACATGTTTTCTTTAGTGTGGGTTGTTGGGTTTTTTTTGGGTTCAGCACGGTATAACCAGTGTGTTTCTGTCTTCCTCTCATTGACCTCCTTAAAAATGAGATGTGCAGTTTTTCAGAATACTTTCATTAGCTCTTCAATCAGTTTCAGAGTGTGTCTTGTATGGTTTGCTCCTTCTTTCCTTTTCAAACATCTATCTTCCGTTTCCCCTCCTTCTTTTATGTGTTTGTTTCTCTTTTGTAACGCCCCTAATCTTCGGCATTTATATGACCTTAATGTGTTGCAAGTGCAGTAAAACTCCTTCTAAAACTATGTGCCTTGCTTCTTCCTTGCACTATATAATGGTGGTTATAGTGTCGATATGCTTCTCTTTACTTGTGAGTGGCTGGCGGGTGCTCTGGTGTGGTTTGCTTCTTCTTTCCAATTAAAAACTATTGTCCTTTTCTCTCTTCCTCCTTTTTTGTGTTATAACTCCTCTAATCTTTGGCACTTACATAACCTTATTGTGTTGCAAGTACCGGAAAACTCCTACTAAAACTAAGTGTCTTGCTTCTTCCTTTTTCTATATCACGACCTCTGTGCTTTCTTGTCGGAACCCCCCGAGGCGCTGCCACTGACTGAAGTATCTTTAGACCATTCCCAAAGGGGGGACATTTCTCGTTCGTGCACAGTAGAATTATAAATGGGCTTATTCATCAATGTCACGCTCATAACTGTGCCTGATCTACAACAGGGAACTACTGTTTTTTTCTTTCCTAATCCTTATTATTGTCATTTTTCCTCTACTTCTTTTGTATGTTTGTCACACTCTTGTGACCCACTATTTCCGGAGTGCTTTGATAGTCGAAGCAGACTTTGTGCTGTTGAGGCTAGAGAGGTGAGCAGAGTAAGCCTGATTTCCCGTTGGGACTTCTCTGTTGACATCCACCCCTTGGTGCTCCTATGACCGTATGCAGTTTCGAGCGCTTTAAAACCTCTTCTAAAAAGAATTGTTTAAAAAGAAGAAAATAGATCGTCCTTCTCTCTCCTCCTTTTAATTGTGTTTGTTACTCTCTTGTAACTCCTGATGTTCGGCATTTATATGATCTTAATTAATGTGTTGCAAGTGCTGTAAAACTTTTACTAAAACCTAAACTTCTCTTTACTTACTAAAAAAGTGGGTAGTTGATGGGTGCTCTGGTATGGTTTGCTTCTTCTTTCCTATCAAACATCTATCGTCCTTATCTCCCCTTCTTCTTTTTTATGTTTGTTACTCTCTTGTAACACCTCTAATCTTCTGACGTTCATATGACGTTATGCAGTTGCGAGTGCCGTAAAGCCTCTACTAAAACTAAAACTAAAACTCCACCCCCACCATTGGAACAGATCGTCAAGGACAGGGCTGGGGTCCTGGAGACCAGTATCGACGAGACGCTGCCCTACGAGCCAAACCGAACCTTTGAGGACTCGGACGAGGAGGAGAACGATGCCAGCAAGCCAGACCTGGACGACCAGATCAAGAAGTTGGAGGAGGAGATGGTCCAGCCCAGCATGCAGAAGGACTTGAACCTGCCGTCCCCCGCAGCCGCGGCGACGGCTCCCAGCAAGACGTCCGGTGGCAAATCGTCGTCGGGCGTGTGCGGGAAGGCCGTGCTGCTGTCCCTGGTGCTAGTGCTGCTGCTGTCAATGCTCATGTTCTACCTTGTGTTCTTCAGCCCCATCAAGCATCCCCTGCTCTCCAATCTCAGGCAGCATCTGCAGTTTTTGGAGCCCGTTCGAGATTTTGTGGGGCAGAAGGCGTCTCTTGTTGGTAGCTACTTCAAGAAGTAAGCGTCTTCTAGCCTGTCAGCTGTGTGTGTGTGTGTGTGTGTGTGCGTGTGTGTGTGGATGGTTTTTGAAGTGGGGGGGGGGTAGGGAAGGGTTGGGTGGGGAAGAATGTTTTTTTGTTGGTGTTCTTTTTTCTAGTTTTTTGTTTGTTTTTGTTCTTGTTTTATTTTTTGTTTTTATTCAATGGATTCTGTACATCCTGCAACCTCAATGCCAAGCGAAAGAATATGAATGGTTTTACTGCATATCTCTGTCCACACATGTCATCTTCGTTGTGATCACTCATGTAGTTTTTACATTATATTTTCTATTGTGAAATCAGTTCATGGATGCTGTGTGGAGTACGTCACAAGTTAACACCTGTCCGATGTGATGCGTCCTGTCTGGTCACTCGTGTTTTAGCGGGACCTAGGCCTGCCACTGGCAGTCATTTATGTGCGTGTATACAGCTCTGAGGAAGCTCATCAGAAGAAAAACATTTTCTAAATCGATTTTTTTTTTCATATCTCAAAAGATTTGTTTTATTGAATTAAGATGCAACTGGAATATTTTTTTAAAATGTATAGCTCTTTAAAGGGTGTGGGGGTCAAAAGGATATGTTTTGAGAAAGACAGTACAGTAAATACAATTTTTAATGTTGAGATTATATAGAGAGCGAAGTAAGAGATGTGCTGGTCTTCTATATCCTTCTCCTGCTACAATATTCTTTTGTTTTCCAAGAAAGACAGTAAAAACGAAGGTCAGTTGGGATTTGCATGAAAATTAGTTCTCTTCAAGAGTGAACTGTTTCAGATTTGTGCGAATTAGGAATGTATAAGTCTGCAAAACATTTTCTCCTAAAAAGATTTTGTATAGAATTATTGAGCAAAGTCCTTTGTAAGAAAGATGTAGAAATTGTTTACCTTGCAATACGGCACTTTATAAATCTTCATAAATGAAGTCCTAGGTTTATATTTGTCATTGTCAAGACATAGCCACCTTCAGCTTCCGATGGGTTTTCTCTCACAAGAGTGCACTCCGCACTTAGGTGTGAATTCAGAAACCACTACGTTCACTGGCCAGATCTTCTGGCGGAAAAATGAAGAACATGCACAGTCGGGTGGTTTTGGGCGGGCAGTGTTGTGCAACACCTTTGATGCTACATGCTGGACATGTGTTAACATTACTGTATCATTTTTTTCTAACAGGTAATTCATATTCCAGCCGAAACAAAAATATTATGTTCTTACGAGATTGTTCATGGTAATAGCTTCTGTTCGTTTTTCTACTTTTCATCGCTTAAAGGTGTACATTCTATGGGTGTCTGTAATTTGGTGATCCTGGTTCCCCATTGGTAGAAAAAAGTTATGGTGCTGTAGAGTCTACATCTTTTTTCTCTCCTTTAGTATCGAATAGTGCATGTAAATCGTTTGAGACTTGTAACATTCCCAGCCTCAGCTAAGAAGAATTGAGAAATATTTCCCCTTTTTTAAATTTTATTAAAGGCACAGTTGTTTTTTTAACCTGCATAATACAACTTGTGTGTTCTGCCAGGGTGTGTGTTTGTGTACAATGGTAGTATCTTTTTAAAAAATTGGTAACCTGTAGATTCAAATTAAAGTTGTTGATGAAAACATAAGTCTTCTTGAATGGCATTAACGAAAGCTGTTGAAGTTTGTGGGGGTTTTTTGCCTTGACCCTCCATACTGTTGCAACTAGAAATTCGCATTTGTTGTGTCTTTGTTGAAAATGGGGAACCAGTGATTAGACTTTTGGAGATTTTAATGAATCACTGAGACACGATAAGCCTCTGAAATGAACAATTTCTGCTCCAACTTTCTTTAGTATTTATTACTTTTACAGACTTGTAAGAGATTTTGTTCTGAAATTTTTTTTCTTTTGTCATGTAAAACAAACTGGTGCTGTAGTCATACTTAAACCAATAGTGAATTCAACTGCACCCCTTAGACCAAATGTCCTGAGTGGTTCCGACAAACTTTCACCTTGTTGTTTTGTTGACTTTTCCCCCTCCCTATGTTTGGAATGCTGGTTTTGTTTTTACGGAGGGAAAATACACATGAAATACCACATTGTATGGATCCGCTCTGGAAAATCTGGATGGCATTGACGACCAGTACCATGTATACATAGAATAATTTGTCAGTATTGTTCCACAAGTGCTCCAGTCAGTTTGGGTAGTTTTGCCACATATTTAAAGAAAAAAACGATCAGCGAAATCAGAGCTGTGATTAAGAACTAGGAAGGAAATAGCAAGACAAACTGAAACAATATATCGTAAGATGCTCCTGGACTTCTTTATTTGTATACCTTTTTTTATAGAAAGTCCCAGAAACTGATCCGGCAGATTGTGGAGTGACCCTGACGACATGATGCTACATATATATATATACACAATATTACACCAATACGGACATTTCTAGAATATGGCCGTTGCGCGGCATCCTGTTTTTGTTGAGCATGGGTTTTTAACGTCTCTTTCATGAAGACGTCCCTTGTGACCATCCACCACAACGCTTGGCATGATTTGTGAATCGGAGCTCTCGAACCGCTCTGCCACTGTAATGTGTGATTAGTGTTGTGATGGGCGTTGGGTAGCAAGCTGATGTTTTCTCATTTCTGAGTTCATATGCCATAAAAGTGAAAGGATTTGCTATTGCCTCATCTCATATTAAATAGTTAACTCATTATTCTACTGAACAAAACAATAACTGTATAGATCCATATAGTGAAATAAGTCAGTTTCTAAAGCAATATCATTTTGGTGTAGCTCTAGAAACAAAGCCGTCAAGTTACTCGGAGCTTATTTTTTGTCAAATTTGATATTCGTGTCACAGCTTCCTAATTCCCCCCTCCTTTTTTGTTTGTTTTGTCATCATTGAAGTATGAACAATGCAGATCAGTTTACTGGATATAGAAATGGGAAGGAACAACTGTTTTATTTCTTGTATGTTTTGTTACTATTATAATAAAGATCAATTATGTTTCCTTTGTCCAGAAAACTGATGGAGAAAATCACATTTACTGAGATCTTTTCAACTTGCTTTTGGTTGTTTTTGTATGTTTTTATTTTGTACTAGAATAAACATTTGTAGTCTCTTTTTGAAGACAAAGATACTCTAAGAATCTCATTTATTGTAACGAACTGTATGATTTTGATACGGAGTTGTGGCATGACACTTTGTCAGTTTGTCTGCATTTCTGAGTTTACCTTTTCTCTTTTATGGATTGTGCCATCTTTATACACTTTCGTGATGAGCACAATCTACCCAAATTTCGTCTTTTCGGGGAAAGTTACATTTCATGCGGCAGCATCCTTTTACATGTATGGCAGGTGTCTGATCTGATCCAACGTTTGGGCTTTAACTAATCTTGTTGGACAACGAAACCAAGGTCTATTTGGGAAGTTGTGTGATTGCACATTGAACGATTTGGAAAGATGATATTGTTTGCACTGAAATTACAGACAGAGAGATGTGGACTTTTGGTCATTGTCCCATAAAGATGTCCTTTTCTCGTAGTTCACTATCTGAAAAAAATTAAGAAAGCTTGTCAGCGAATCTTTGGGTTCAGGTTTGTCATCTGCCATGTGAGTAGCGTTATGCCTCAAAGTTTTTGTTTTTCTCTAGTTTCTTTCTGTAAGGGAACAAAGAACTTAATCTTTCTTCCACCTGGACCTCTGGTTTCATTTTAAAGTTTTATTTATAACCCAAAAGATGTTGAATTTGAAACAGCTCTCTGTCTCTCATGTGGTGTTTGAAACAGAATATTTCATTTTATATGTATCAAGTTGTTGTGAGAGAAGCACTTTCACCTGTTTTGTGACGAGACAAGAAATGCATAAACTGATCTCATGTCTGTAAAAAACGAAAGAGGGGAAAAAGTAAAAAAAAAAACTCACAAAAACACAAATATTTATTATTTTTAATTTTGATTTTATAGATAGCCTTCTCTGCAGACTATGTCTTCAATGTAAACGTTATATTTACACTTACCTTTTCAGCTTATTTTTAGCATAAAGCTGTTGTCTTTGTATGATACTACTGGCTTCACTTTCCTCTCCAAGAACAATGTTCCTTGCTTGTAGTCTGCTGCATGTCTCTTGTGGTCTCATTGACATGCACATAGCGACAAAATTTCTATATTGTCCTTGTTGCTCTCAGCCTATTGTGTAAAAGGAGGTGGGGAGAAAAGAGGGGCGAGGGGGGGAGGGGGAGGGAGCGTGTTGGAAAGAAGGGAGTGTTAATGAACCCGAATGACGGCAGACATCAATTTTGTCAAAGTTTACGGCTTTTCGGTTTGCTGTTGCAGCATTTGTCTTTTGATATCTTCACCATGAGAGGAAATACTCTTTTCTCTTTTGTTCAGAATCTTTCAGAAATATTTTATAGTACATAAAGTGTTTAGGAAAATATATATACTCTGAAGGTGAAAAAAAAAATGGAACCACTTTTTTTGTAGGTCTTGAAATGCTGAAATAAAGTACTATTTGCTTCAACTGAAAGCTGTCGGTCTTGGAATTGTAGTGTAGCATGGTTCAGAGTAGGAGTGGGTTCTTCTCAACAAGCGATGAGGTTGAGGGCAATGTTACATTAAGCATTCCAGTCAAAATTCCAATGCCATAATTCAGACTTCAGCATGGTGACATTTCCTCACAGAATTGTTTATCATGATTGAATTCCCTTTGTTTAATTTCCCGGGAGGGAGGGAGAGACCGGTGTCTGGGGTGTATTGGTTAGGCTCTTTGCTGTTGCAAGCTGAAGGTGCCAGTTCAGTTGTGGAGTGGGGACTCCCTGCTGGGGCAGCATGTCCCACTGGGCCAGGGTTGGCATTTAAAGGCAGCCCTGAAACAGTTTGCCTCGAAATGAGGGGAATTGTATTGAAGGGGGTGTAAAGCATTTACAGTGAAGGAGGCAGGGAGGGAGGGAGGGGTCCACTGAAACCAGCAGCTTGCAGCAAAACTAGAAGTGGGAGTGGAGTGTAAAGATGTGCCAGTGTGTTCTGTAGAATACTCTACTGCACGGGTGTCAGGCTCATCGGCTGAGAGGGGGGAGGGAGGGAGGGAGGTGGGGGGGGGGGGGCAGACTCGGACTGCACCAGGATACAGGCCAAACTGGGTCAACACTCTTTGACAGTGGAAAACATAACATTTTTCTAAAACAATGATAGGAATCAAAATGTACAAAAGTTAAAATATTTGGTTACAAATAGAAGTATACCAATTTTCGATCTCTTGCCAGTTTGTCAGAGCTGGATATTTGGCATCTCTTCTAATCTTGGCAACGTGTTCGTGTACCTTTGGAGTACAATTCTGTGTTTTTGTTTATGCAGATTCTCAGAATGAGCCTCCCAGAAATTGTCCCGCGGGCCGATAATAATTATACTCTGTGGGTCGGACGCAGCCCGTAAGCCTTGAGTTTGACACCCGTGTTCTGCATGATTATGTCTCTCTTGTACATGTACATAGATGTAGCTGTGTATTGTCTGTACTCAGTGTGTGGTCACTGTTTCTCATCCCTCAGGCCTTTGGAGTGTTTCACGTCGTCTTTCTTTCGCGGGGATGAGATTTTACATGTGATCTATCAGACAGAGGAAGTTTGCAATAAAGATTCTGTCATTTCTCTGCATGTAAATATTTTTGACGATTTATTCAAATTTTGACTCTTATGAGCAGTTATTTTGATTTTATTCTCTCCCCCCTAAAAATTGGTATGCGAAGAGGAATTTTTTGTGTGTGGATTTAAAGAAGACAAAAAAAAAAAATGAATTGAAATTACAGCTTCCTTGACTCTTTTATGAATTTACATGATTGAATCTTTCATTTCATTATACAACAGATAGTTTGCTTTAGCATTCGTGTAGTTTTCATTTTCTGTCAATGCAAATTTTACCCTTGATGATTGTAGGCATAGATTGCGAGATGTTCATGCAGGTTGTTCTATTCAGGCCACAACTGTAGGCAAATTCAACTGATGTCAGTATCAATAAAGAGAAAGCTTGAAAGTCCAGGAACATTTGCCCTGTTGGTTTTAAAACTATGTGTACCTTTGTACTATACTCTCATAAATCTATGAACAGACGCAGCCACTGCAGCAGAGACTGTTACTCTCAATTGGACAATACAGCTGTCCCCGTGGTTTTATGCACCCCGCATAATTTAGCAAAATTTGGTCATTTTTTGCATAATTTCTTATTATTTTCCTTTATCATTCTTTGTTAAAATTAACAGAATCGCATAATTCCACATTTTTGGGCTCATAATTTCAGAATTTTTTTTGCATAAAACTGCGGGGACAGATACAGTAACTGCAGACGCTAATCTAACCTCGTCATCAAGTGCCTGATCTGCGACAGACATTGGCGATCATGCTTCTCCGTTCATATTCCTTTGTTTGTATACTCTAAAAAAAAGCTACATTATCCTGATCTGTCTCTGTTACTCATCTGTTTAGCCTGTCCAAGTAGTGTTGTTCTCGGCCTACCCCGGCCTCGTTTGCCTTCAATTTTGCCAGTAAGTGACAGCTACATGTTTAAGGCCTTTATTTCTGTTTAGGTGTCCCAGAAACTGCATTTGTCTTTTCCTGATTGTTTTTATCAGCGAGCAGATGGTGACCTGACAACAGCTGAAGCAACCTGTCCCCATCATTTTATGCAAGAAAAATTCTGAAATTATACAATTCTGTTAATTTTAACAAAGAATGATAAAGGAAAATAATCAGAAATTATGCAAAAATGATCAAATTTTGCTAAATTATTCGGAGTGCATAAAACCATGGGGACAGAGCAACTGCTGAATGCAGATCCATGGCCACAGGTGACCGAGGAGCGTTGATAGCCTAGTAGTTAGGCTGCCGGACTCGTAACCGTGAGATCGCGGGTTGGGCGGTTCGAGCCTCAGCTCGGTCTGACTCTGACATTGTGTCCTTGGGAAAGGCATTTTACACGAATTTCCCTCTTAGCTCGGTCCTTTTGGAGATGGACGTTAAAACCCGGAGGTCCTGCCTCTTACCTAACAGTGTTGATAGGGGCGTGAAACTTATACCATCTCACCATTTCACAGGGGACTGACGGGTTGTGCCGATGTTTCATCTTTACTTCCCGGCCAAACAGTATGAGTGTCTGTGGTGCAGCTGTTAGGCTGTTTGCCTTGCACACACATGGCATAAGTTTGGTTCGGAGGGGGGGGGGGGAGTTGGTGGAGTGTGAGGCATGGTTATTTTTGTGTGTACTATCTTCATCTTTTTGTTCTGATGATGTTTCCCATACTTGATTTTGGGGAGGGGGGGGGGGGTAAAATACTTACAATCAGTTATTTACAAACTATGCTTTCTTTTTCCAGATCCTGGTTCTTTTCCTTAAAAAACACTACCTCTGTCATTGTTGTGTTTTGGATGTAAGTTTATTTACAGTGCAAGTACAGTCAAAATTTTCCAAGATGGCCACCCACTGTCGGGGAGAAATGTGTGGCATCGTGGTGAAATCAGGTGCTCGTCAAATAATCAAATCCAAGATATCGACATTTTTCCTCCAGTTTGACAATATTTTTTCTAATTTTTGTTTTTTGGCTCAACACCTTTTATATCCAAACAAAAACACATTTCCATATATAAATTTTTTCAGAAAAAGGTTGATTAAAGGCACAAAATATGCAATTTTTCAGTTTTAAAGGACTCTGAAGCTATTGAAGTTACCGAAATTTGGCGGTATTTTTCTCGCAGATTTTATCACTGATACCAGGCGACCCCACCTCCTTCAATCGTAAATATCTTGACTTACATATATTCAAGATAGATGAGTATTTTTTTCATTGAAAGCAAGGCAATTGAATAAGCTTTTAATTGATTCCGTTAACCTGTCCCCGTGGTTTTATGCACCCCGCTTAATTTAGCAAAATTCGATTTTTTTTTTTCTTCAAAATTTCTGATTATTTTCATGTATCATTATTTGTTAAAATTAACAGAATCTCATAATTTCACATTTTTGGCTCAGTTTACACAATTTCAGAATTTTTCTTTCATAAAGCGATGGGGACAGATTAACGCCAGATGCCCAAAAATTGATGAGCGCCTGATTCCACCGTGTCGTGACATAAATGTGATTGATTTAGATCGTCTTGGACAGTCATTGTGGTATTTCAAAAAGCAAAGGTGGGAGTGGGGAGTGGTCATTTGTACAGGGGACTGTCTGGGACAGGTGGCCGTTAGAGCAGGTTCACCTGAATCTGAACTTCAGTGATACTTACTTTACTTTACTTTACTTTTTTCTTCTGCTTGTACCGGTGTGTGTCGCGGGGAGACACAGGCGTCTGTCTGCAGCAAGGCGAGTGGCCTGTAGGAGGGACATCCCGTGAGCTCTGAGGGTGTCTGCCACAGATTCACTCCATCGTCGCCTTGGTCTTCCTCTGGCTCTCCATCCAGAATATTTAAAGTTGTATGCTCTCAGAGCTGGATGGTTTGAGGGCAACCGCGTGAGGTGTCCGAACCACTTGACCTTTTGTTTTTCAATGTGTGGTAGGACTGGTGTTGCTCCTGGTGTCCCTTATGAGTTCATTTTTTATTTTGTCTCTTCTTGTTTCGTTGACCGCTCTTCTTAAGCTTTTCATCTCGCATGTGACCAGTTTCCTCTGGTACTTCAGTGATACCAGTTTCAAACTCGCTGATTGGCGTTCATATGACCTTGTGCAGTTGCGAACGCCTTAAAAAACCTCTACTAAAACAAACAACAACAACTCGCTGAGACACAGAACGACGACCGACTTGATACTGACGTGTATTAGAATCTGCTAGACGTATCAGTGATCAGGTAAATGCTGTCCCATGAATAAACCTATGATCAAAAATGTCTTTACGTATTATAATTTAGTATCTCATCACCAGAGAGAGGGGGGGGGGGGGGGGGTTCTCGTTCGAATTCCGGGTAGCGACGGAAAAATTATCTTCTCTAAAATTGTCTCCTTTCACCTCCTTTCCTGCTCTCCAACAATGTTCTGTCGTCTGCTTTCGTCTCCACTTTCTGCCCCGCCCCCTCACCTCCTTTGCCCCCTCCTCTGGGCTCCTGACTCTTTCTGCAGCTTTTCTACTGCTACTCCTTGGCTCCTTACTGCTGTCTTTCAGCCGCACCCCTCATCTTCTTGTACGAAAGATCTGCACGTAGCCTTCTCGGACGAGGGCGAAAATCTTGGAGGTCACGTGTACAAGTTGCGCATGTTAAAGATCCCGTAGTGGTCTAAAATCGGCAAGAGTAGGCTTTGGCCGCCACCCGTTCAAAAATCAAAATTTGTTATCAACTAAAAATGTCTTATGTGTCCCGCGCGCTCATATATGGCCTTATGCAGTTGCGAGCGCCGTAAAACACTTACCAAAAAGAGAGAGAGAGAGAGAGAGAGAGAGAGAGTTGACGTGCCCCACACTGGGCGATGTCCTGTTGGATGACATCGAACGCATAACTTACTATCGTCACGGTACTCACAGCGCGTCTCCCTCAAACCTGAACGTGATCGCACGGAAAATATCAAGCAGCGCTTGATTTCTCGACCGAGTCTTCAAACCATCGTTCAATCGTCCAAATTTTGTACAATTTTGTGGTTACACCTAACGATTTATCGTATGGTGTCCAAATCGTCCCGTTTTTGTACAATTTATCGTTACGTGTAACCGGGCCTTTTTATGATGGTATCAAGCGTGGCATCATGTGGAGATCCAGGCGCTCGACGAAATAATCCATGGTGAAGAAACTGACGTTTTTTCCGGCCGTTCAGCAATTTTCGTGGAAATTGTGGCCTGGGCACTTTCCAAGGACACGACAGCTATGGAAGAGAGAGAGAGAGGGTGTGTGTGTGTGTGTGTGTGTGTGTGTGTGTGTGTGTGTGTGTGTGTGTGTGTGTGTCTGCGTGAGTTTGAAAAACAGACAGCCATTTTCTTGATAATTTTATATCTGCCACAGACGCCAGGCGACCTCCACCTCCTTCAAATACATGCAAGTCAACTTGTATTCAAGTTCAAGATAGATGGATGGATAATTATTTAATCGAAAGCAAAAGGCAAATGGTCGCTTTTAAGCACAAAGGGGCTATCCCGAAGAATGCTGTTTTGAGAAAATCGAAGTTGAAGTTTTTGGACCCTTGTTCAGTTTTTTTTTAAAGAGAAGGAGAGGTTTCTCTATAACCAAAAAATGTACACTGTAATTTAATCAAACTTCTCCTATCAGTAGGGCAATGTCCACTCTTCGTATAGCTCAAGAATTCTGGAAACCCCCAAAATCTGGGTCAGCCCGCTTGTCCTTAATAGCGACCAAATTTTGTAAGCTTTAAAATGAAACCAATTATAACTGTATCACATTCAGTAATTTATTTATTTTGGTGTTAAAATGAGCGCAATCTATCTAATAATGTAGCGCTTTCCAACCGGGGAGATATCACCCAACAGTGGGGGATTTGGTAATACAGGGTGCCCTTTGGGGGATCGGGTTTGGTCGGTTTGCTAGCCAGACTGAGGGCGCAAAGCGGCTATCGTGGCGCAAGCCGATCGCGCCCGACTCGTCGCCTTTAAAAAAACCCAAACGCTTTAGTTTTCAGGTGACGTGCGGCGATCGCCCCTGACCCGGAGTTGTTTGTTTTAGTAGTAGAGTCTTTTTCGGCGCTCGCAACTGCATAAGGTTATATGAGCGCCAAGGGGTGGATGTCAACAGAGAAGTTCTTACAGGGAATCAGACTTACTCTGCTCACCTCTCTGGCTTCAACAGCACAAAGTCTGCTTCGACTATCAAAGCACCATGGAAATGGCCGGTCACAAGAGTGTGACAAACATACAAAAGAAGTAGAGGAAAAATGACGATAGTAAGGATTAGGAAAGAAAAAGCAGAAGTTCCTTGCTGCAGTTCAGGCACAGTTATGAGCATGCCATTGATGAATGAGCCCATTTACAATTACAATTCTACTGTGCGTAATACGGGGTGCCCACTACGGCTGGATCGGGCCAATCGCCAGACTCGATCGCCTGAAACTGAAAACAAAC